CGAGTGTAGGAACGCTCCGCCGACGGACAGAGCTCAGATGAATAGGAACGTTACCTCCATACGTAAGGAGTTGGATCAGATAGCACAGAACGTGGTGAGTTTTAATGCCGATTCAACAAGCAGTCCTGTACACGTGAAATTAGTAACATTCCATTTTGGTATGTTGTAGCAGCAGCAGCAGCGGTAGCAGCAGCAGCAGTGGTAGCAGCAGCAGCAGCAGCAGCAGCAGCAGCAGTAGCAGCAGCAGCAGTAGCAGAAGCAGCAGCAGCAGCAGCAGTAGTAGCAGCAGCAGTAGCAGCAGTAGCTGTGGAAAAAATGGTAGCAGTTGCAGTAAGGCCACTATTAGCAATTACTACAAAATCAAATAAACAGAACAAGAGCAAGAGTAGCAGAAACATTATAAACAGCAGCAGATGAGCACGGTCACACTGCACCACGTGTGGCATGTACATAAAAGGGATTCCTATGTGCACAAATGCAGTAAAGACTTCCATGTGCTACACGAGATACAAATACGACGTATTTCTGATGTCAAATCGTTCGTTTTTGCTTTTGCAGAGGAGACTGTCAACGAGTGGGGATGCGGCTCAGAAAAGAACCTCTCTGCTCTCTGGTAGACCAGGAGCGGACACAGATGTGAGCGGTGATAGAATATAAGTGGATAATTCCAGTACATCTAGATAGCCCATGCACGCGGCACACTGGAAGTGGATGAGATTGAGACGTACACGTAGTAAACATACATGCAGCATACACATAGAAAACTAAACTTACTATGCTAGCTAATCGCAGACGCTGCCTGTATGTGACAACATTTATCCCGCGTGTGTAGACAAAGCTGTTGAATTAATTGCAATCAACGACTACGATACGACAGAAACTCTTGACCTTTGTGTATCACTGTTTGAGATTTCACCTGAGGGAAACACGAGCAGACAAAAACATGACTAAAAAGAAAAGGAGAATAATGTCTTGATGCTTACTTTTGGCTCAGATTGTGTTGTTGCAAGTTGGCTTTGATTGAGATTTTATGGGTTCTGAACTCTTATTGACCAGAACGAAAAGAAATGGAAAATGCTTTGTGAACCTCATACCGAAATAAACTAGAACAGATTTGATACAAATCAAACGTTCCTCTGCCGAACTTAATAGAGCGTACGCAAGACAACAACCCGGCCAGGTAAATCGTCACTAAATCGTGATAGTATTTCAAGTAATAACAACGTATCCTATATCTGTCGGTGATAACACAAGTACAGCATGGTAAATGCAAGTACCCAAAACTAACAAAGTACGCAAAGTGGTGTGGGTACAGTGCAGCCAGCAGTACGTGTACGATTTTATCTATTACAGGATTCGATTTTACAAAAGTGCATCTTCCCGCCTTGCACTCGGCATTTTACATTTTATGAGTAACACGTAAGGCGAGTGAGGGGGAGCTTGGACGAGTGTCCACACACGTGACGTCCTCACCCTGTCTCTCGTCCTATGCAGACTCTCGCGCTGCGATCCCAGGTCCGTGATGATGTTGTCTCCTATCTCCTCGGTTTCCACGGCGACGGCCCTGCGAGCGGTGGATGCTGGATGAGGTCCTGCTCAGGGTTTCCGTTCCGAATGCGGCCGTGACGCGTCGCATAATCGGGACGTCGGCCTCGAAACTTGTGCCTGCAGCAACAACAACGGAGAAACCTGTTACTCGCCGGGAATACGGGGGAAGTCACTGGGTACGATTTGTGACTCTGTACATTTGGAATGTCCGGTGTATGACACGGACATACAGATAATTTTATATATACCACATGCAGGAGTTACAGGGAGTTCACTGTTGGTACTATTTGGACTCTATATATATTGGAATGTCCGGTGTATACACATACATACAGAATTTATCACACATGCAGCGATTACAGGGAGTTCACTGTGTACTATTGTGAGCTCCCAAATATATATGGATATACCGGGTATGACACATACATACGAGAAATTTATAACAGCATGCACAGGATTACAGGGGAGTTCACTGTGTATCTATTGTGACTCTATATATATGGAAGTATTCCAGTGTAATGACACATACATACAGAAATTTAATAACACTCAAGGAATTACAAGGGAGTTCACTGTGTAAAGACGTTGTGATCTATATATATGGAATGTCCGGTTATGCACGGACATACAGAAATTTATACACATGCAGGATTACAGGTAGTTCACTGTGTACTATTGTGACTCTATACATATGGAATGTCCGGTGTATGACACAGACATACAGAAATTTATACACATGCAGGATTACAGGGAGTTCACTGTGTAAGATTGTGACTCTATATTATATGGAATGGTCGGTATGACAGTCAGACATACAAGAAATTTTATAGACATTCAGTGAGTTACAGGGAGTTCACTGTGTAAGATTGTGACTCTATATATATGGAATGTCCGGTGTATGACACAGACATATAGAAATTTATACACATGCAGGAATACGGGGGAGTTCACTGTGTAAGATTGTGACTCTATATATATGGAATGTCGGTTATGACACACTACATATCAGAAATTTATACATCAGATTTACAGGAGTTACTGTTCGATTGTGAACTCCTAACCATATGGAATGTCCGGTGTATGACACAGACCCGTCCCCGTAATCGGCCAGACGCACGTGTTCACCAGTCCTGTATATTCCAAC